AATAATAAACTTTAGAATTAAATGTGTTTATAATAAATTTTTGTTTTATATATGAAATATATTCATATTTATTAATTTGATATCAATAAATTATCAATTGTTACTAATTATTTTAATTCAAATTTTTACTAAATTCAGAAAATATTGATTAATTATTGAAAAATATAAATAATTTTTAATTTTCAACTTTTTACAATATATTTTATTAATATATTGTAAAAATCATTAAATTTTAATTTTTAAAAAAATATTTAATTATTTCAACCTCTTTCGGATATCCGATTCGGATAAATTTTACTATTTCGTTTTATTTCGCAAAATTTTTTGACAAATTTATAGAAAAACTTAAAAAATACTTTTTATATTCTATAAATTATTTCTATATATTGTAATAGATTCAATATTAATAAAACATTATTTACAATAACATTTTCAAACGTTTCATATCACACTAGTAATATAAATTCGGTTGAATCTGGGACCTAAAACAAGATTGAATAAAAAAAGAAAGCAAAGAAACTGGAAGAAAACACATACATATGCACAAATATTGAAATATTCATATACACTCAAAAGATAAGGTTAAAACAGGATATGCCTGTAAGGTGGTATAAGAAAAAAATAAGAAAGAAGAAAAATAAGAAGTTGCAAACGAAGCATATGTTTAGTTTATGTTAGATCAGTTAGCTTGATAAAAACCGGGCAGTAATCAAATATAATGGGTTCCATTTAATCGGGGGTGGAAGGGGCGATCGCGCCGTTTCTTTTAAAGCGCATGCTTGCGAGTCTTCTCGACATTTACGTTTCAGCTACGAACGCGACGTCGAATATTCACTTACTAGTATCATTTACGTCTACTTTAGCCATTAATTTTCTTTTTTTATTTTTTATATCGTGAAATATTACCTCATAAGATTATACTTATTATTAATTTATCTTTTAAATCTAAAATATAATACTATTATAATCCACCAAAATTTAATCAATTTATAATAATTCTTGAACCTAATATTTCTGTGGAACTATATTTTTTGTGAAAAAATTTTTTATAAAACTAATTCAAAACTGTTATTATTGGTGTAAAAATTTAATAACAAGCAAAATGGCTTTGAAAATTCGCGTTCAATCACCGAAGGTAAAATACACAGAAGATTGTATTGAAGCACAGTACGAGTATCAAACGACGAACGTTACAGAAGACGATACAAAATATACGGTAAGCATACCGAGAATGTTTTTTTTTTCTATAAATTTTTCTTTTCGATTTAA